GTGAAGTAATCGATGGCGACGATGATGTATCTATTGTTGGAGGTACCCCTCGGCAGAGGGCCCACAAGGTCTATGCCCCATCGAGCGAAAGGTATGGATGTGTTGATGGGGGCATAGTTGACCGCTGGCCTGCCGGGGGCTTTCTGGAAGTGTTGGCATGCGGGACACCTCCGGGCAAGATCTGCACAATCCCGGGCCATCGTAGGCCAGAAGTAGCCCTGGATCACTAGCCTTCGGGACATGGAGAAGGGTCCCTGGTGAGATGAGCAAGTGCCACTGTGTACTTCCTCCATTGCTACTTCGGCTTCATCTTGATGAAGGCACCGAAGCAACGTCCCGTTGTAGGACCTTTTGTAAAGCCTTCCGTCCTCGATAACGTAGCTGGGAGCCCTCAGTTTTGTCAGTTTGGCACGGGCCTCCTCCTCGGGCAGTTGCCCTGTGGTGATGAAGGCAACAATGTCTGAGATCCAGTCCTTCTGTCTTTGTTGTATGTTCATGACGGGGCTAGCATGTATGCTGGAGAGGCTGAGTTCTTCCACTTTGGCAATCTTCGAGATATGCTCAGGGGATTCTGCCGAAAGCTTTGATAAAATGTCGGTCTCGGAGTTTTGAGCCCTCGGTATTTGAGTAAGAGAGTGTGCCTCAAATACCTTAAGCAATTCCTTGGCCGCCTCCTTGTATTGCTTCATTCTCCCTTCCTTGGCCTCGTACTCTCCGGAGACTTGGCCGACGACTAACTTGGAGTCGCACTTGACGTGGATTTGTCGGGCCTTAATGTTAGCTGCCAGCCGAAGGCCACAGAGGAGGGCTTCGTATTCGGCTTCATTGTTTGAGACTTTGAAGGAGAAACGGACTGCATAATAGGCCCGGAAGCCCTCGGGTGAGATGAGAACCACCCCTCCTCCACATGCCTTGATGGCGGAGGAGCCATCGGTGTAGAGGGTCCATCAGTCATCTGAAGGGGCCGAGGGCTCATCGTCCGTGGCTGCCCTTGCCGTACACTCCGTCATGAAGCCCACTAGGGCTTGGCCCTTGATGGCGGGCCTAGGACGGATGTCGATGTTGTATTGGCTCAAGAAGACAACCCATTTAACCATTCGGGGGGAGCTAGTGGGGCTCCTCATCAAGGCGACGAGGGGTTGGTGAGTGAGGACCTGGACCGGGTGAGCCTGGAAGTAATGGCCCAACTTCTTGACGGTCCAAACGATAGCCAACACCGTCTTTTCCACGGGGGAGTACCAGAGTTCTGCCTCCCTGAGGGTCTTGCTAACATAGAAGATGGCATGCTGGATGCCATCCTCTTCCCGGATGAGTACTGAGCTGATGGCAGTCGGGCTAACACCCAAGTAGAGGTACAGGATCTCCCTTACCTTGGGTTTAGAGAGCACAGGGGGTGAAGATAAGTATCGTTTCAGCTCCTTGAATGCCCCCTGACATTCTGAAGTCCACTGGAAACCGGCGGTTTTCCTCATGATCTGGAAGAAGGGTAAGGACTTCTCCGCCGATTTTGATAAGAAGCGATTGAGGGATGGCAGGCGGCCCGTCAACCGTTGGACCTCCTTCACGTTGCGTGGGGGTTCCATGTTGATGATGGCTTGGATTTTCTCGGGGTTGGCCTCAATACCCCTTCGGCTCACCATGTAGCCCAAGAATTTGCCCCCCTGGACGCCGAAGGTGCACTTCTTTGGGTTCAGCCGAAGGCTAAACTTCTGCATGATGGCGAAGATCTCCCTCAGGTCGTCAGCATGGCTTGCTGTCTGCGTGCTTTTGACGATCATATCGTCAACATATGCCTTCATGGTGTGCCCTAGGACAGCTTGGAATACCCTGGCCACCATCCGAGTGTAGGTGGCACCTGAGTTCTTTAGGCCGAAGGCCATGACGAGGTAGCAGAAGATGCCCTCGGGAGTCATGAAGGCTGTTTTTTCAGCGTCTTCCTCATGCATGTATATTTGATGATATCCGCGGAATGCGTCGAAGAATGACATGATTTCACACCCCGCGGTTTCATCCACAAGTTGATCAATATTTGGCAAAGGAAAGGGGTCCATGGGACACGCCTTGTTGAGATCCGTGTAGTCCACGCACATGCGGAATGAGGGTGGTTTCTGCGCGAGGACTACGTTTGCCAGCCATGAGGGGTATTTTACCTCCTTAATGTGCTTGATAGAGAGGAGCATGGCGACCTCCTTCTTCACAAATTCCCTCCTCTCGGCCGAGAGGGGTCTCCTCCGCTGCTGTACTGGTTTGGCCGAAGGGTCCACCGAGAGGCGGTGGGTGATGATCCTTCGGCTGATCCCCGGTATGTCCTCCGGCCCCCATGCAAAAACGATGGAGTAGGCGCGGAGGGCGCTGATGATGCCAATCTTCAAATCTTCGGGGAGCTTGGCTCCGATCTTCACGACCCTCTCTGGCTTGGCCGGATCGAGCGCGAAGTCTTCTACCTCCTCGGCTGGTTCAGCCCTCAGCCTCCTTTCTTCCGCTTCCACAGTTCCGGTGATGATGTCAACGCGGAACTCTGTCTTGCTAACCTTCTTTGTAACTTGAAGGTAGCAAGCGCGGGCAAGCTTTTGGTTCCCCCTTGAGTAACCGATTCCCTCCTCGGCTGGGAACTTGAGGCAGAGGTGCCTCATGGAGATGACGGCTTCGAGGTCCTCGAGGGCTGGCCGGCCGAGGATGATGTTGTGGGCGCAGTCGATGTTGATGACGACGAACTCCACTTCGAGCTTGGCTCTATGGAGGCCGTCGCCGAAGATTACCGGGAGGGTTATGACCCCCTCGAAATCAATGGTGTCGCCGGTGAAGCCGGCAAGAAGGGTCTTGATGGGCCGAAGGGACCCCCTCTCCAGATGCAGCTCTCTGATGGTGCTGAGGTACATTACATTGACGGAGCTGCCCGTGTCAATGTGAGTTCTGTGAATAATGGTGTCGTTGATCTCTGTGCGGATGATGAGGGCATCCCTGTGTGGGGAGGATACTGGGGGGAGATCAGCGTTAGTGAAGACAATGGGTTCCTCCCTCAGCCGCTTTACTGGGGGCATATGAGTGACTTCCCCCACGTAAAGTGATTGAGCCCACTTTTTTCGTTGACCCGTAGAGTCACCCCCGGTATTTCCCCCCGTGATCATGAGGATGTGACGTTTCTTTTCTTGGTACCGGGGGTACTCCTCCTCCTCCTCCTCCTCCAGATTTCCAATCTCCCTCTTCTTTCCGAGGGGGATGGTGTTGGGGTTGACCCATGCATTTGCTCTCGCGGTTTGCCCTCGGGGTGGCCCCTGATGAGGGGGGCCTTGCTGCTGAGGGCCCTGGACAAACTGGGACAGATGGCCAGCTTGTATCAATTTCTCGATGGCCGTCTTCAGCTAGTGGCAATCATCGGTCATGTGCCCCCGGTGTCGGTGGAAACGACAGTAGGGGTAATTTGGATTGATGGCACATACTTCCGAGGGCGCGCGTGAATCTCGTTCCATGAGGCCCCTCTCCTCAGCAAAATCCAGGATGACGCTGACGGGGTGTGTCAATGGTGTCCGAGGGTGCTCCAGGAGGACAGGCTGTGCCCAAGCCCTCGGGTTCCCCTTGTAGCCTCCCCCGGGCTTGGCTTGGCCATGCTGGGGCGATCACCGGAGGGGGCAGAATCCCTGGGATGATTGTGGGGAGCCCCCGGGCCCCGGTTACCTTTGTCTTCTGGCCGGGGGCGTTGCTGATCCGGGACATGGTGGCATTTCTCCACCTCCTCGGCCTCGGCGTACCGGTCCCCCCGCTGTAGGGCCCTCACATGAATTCCCATTATGTCTTTATTTTGGGCGAGATTTTTCCCTCCAATTGTGGTGCAAATACTGTTACTTTATATTATATAAAGATAAAGATTCTTATACTACTAATTAGAAAATTTTGGTGTTCACTTGAACACTTTTGATCTAGCATACGTCCACCTTTGGGTGTTCGTTAACTCGATTTTATCGGTTTCGGTTTTAGAAAAGGTGAACCCAATAACCGAATCGCACAACTTGAGTTAGTTTCGGATCAGTTAATTTTGGTCGATTTATGTTAGTTTTAGTCGGATTTAACATGTTTTTATCCGTCGTGTTTGGTCTGGACGATTTTTTGATGCAAAAGTATAAACTGTGAACTGAACCGCAGATGGGCTATTCAGCTTCATTACTTTCAATTTCGGCAATTTTTTTATTGATTTTGGTTTTTTGTTCACTCCAATTACCTATGATTTTTTAAATTTAGTTTAAATATGTTCTTAATTCTTGTAAATACAGTGCTTCGATTGGTCGTCGATTGACTGTCCGGAGTGGTGTTAGGCTCGTTCGATGGAAGAGGAGATATGTGGACAACGAGCAACAAGCAAGGGACTTCACAAAATAGGAGGTCACCATGTGGTGTACGTTACCCAGCCGCTCGCCACCATCATATGTAAACCTCGGGTCAGTGGGAGAATCACCGAATGGTCCCTACCGATCAGACAATACAACGTATAATTCCGCCCAAGGCCAACGATCAACGGGCAGACTACAATAGATTTTGTAGTTGAATGTATAGCTCGAGTGGTGGAAACTGTCGATAGATGGAGCATCCAACACGAAGGGATGCGGAGCAGGGATCGTGATCACATCATCGGAAGGCTTCACAACATACTATTCACTTAAATTCGGCTTCGAGATGATGAACAATGAACCAGACTATGAGGCCTCGCTCGAGGGTGACTCCGACTTGCTCGATCCCTCGATACTACCAAGCTAAAATCACAATCAGATAAGCATATGGTGGTGTAACTGTAACACCCCGGCCCCGCAGGATCGAGGTGGTTACTTCTGACCTTTAGTATTGAAAAACTTCCCAGGGGGTCACCCATCCCAAAACTACTCTCGTGCAAGCATGCTTAAATTTGAAGTTCTTAGTAGATGAGATCTCTTAAAAGGAGATGCACCTCTGTTGGTACGAGTAGTACTATTAATCCTCATAAATTAATCTCGGGTATTACAGTAACATCCCTCAATTTCCACACCCAATTATAATAAACATATCCTTTTATTGATAATAAAACATTGAGTTGAGTGAAAGACTTTCAAAAGAAAATTGGGTGCATTACCGCCACGCTTAGCTTTACATAACTAAGTGCTAAGGCTATCACCGCATTATTTGAAAATACAATATTGTAAATCCTTATTTTCTAAACATAATATCTAAATGATACAACGCTCTCGGACCATAAGCTTCAATCAGCATCAACACAATCCACATGATCATCTGTTTTAAAACAAGAAAAGAGAAGAAAACATGGGGAAACAAATTTAGCTTGAAAGGTGAGTAAATCACACTCAACCCCGTAAAATACAGGGGTTTGAAAATAGTTTTCTTGTACAGAAACTCATAGAGATCAATACATAGTTGATATAGCATACGTTAAAAATATCATTTCACTTATAACACACACACCACTACTACATTTAAAGGTCTTTTGTAACAACATAATTTGTGACCTTTGGCCCAAAATACTTTGTGACCATTGATCCAAAATATTGTTACATTGCACGGAAACCATTTATGTGTTTATTAATTCAATCCTACGATATTTTATCAATAGATGGGTGGGGTTAAAGATTCCTCTAACCCAATGAATCATCGTCAATGGCGGCCCGTTTTCATGACGGGTTCCTTCGGCAAGTTCGTTCTTCTTCTACCAACATTTTAATTTCATCTTTCTTCCTTCCCGCTTCACTCTCAGGAATATATTCAAACGCTTATAGATGAATTATAACAAAGATAATATTGTGTCAGAATTCTACCTCTATTTATAGGTGAAAATCTGATCATGGGGTTATGGCCACTTGGAGAGGCGGCTAATGGGTGGAGAATGCTTATTGGACCTCCTACACTCGTGAGGGACACGAAGGAGGCAATAAGGCGGCCATGACATCTGGAAGTAGTTGCATCATGGTGGGCAGTTTGTCCTTGTCCGGCGATGTCACCGCCGGCCATCTGGAAATGATTTCTGGTTGGATGGAGATGCAACACTGTCAAAGGAGTCCAATGACGTTGACATGAGTGGATTTGGACGTCTGATCGGTTTATTATGAATTTTTGAAGTTTTATGTGTGTGTGTCTATATATATATAGGGTTGGGTTCTAATAAGAAGACATCTTAACGTGAGAAGTGAGAAGCTTCACATTTGTCTCTTTCTGATGCACTTTTGCGCTAACCTGATGCACTTTTTGCGATAGCAGAAAAGTTCTGATTAATTACGGAAATGCCACCGCGTCTTACATCACTTTTTTAATTAATCAGAACTTTTATGTGATCGAAAAAAGTGCATTAGATTAGCGCAAAAGTGCACCAGAAAGAGCCAAATGTGACGCTTCTCACTTCTCACGTTAAGATGTCTTCTCATTTGATCCTTATTCTATTCTAAATATATATATATATATATATATATATATATATATATATATATATATACATATATATATATATATAAGGGTGAGTTCTAATACAAAGAGGTCTTCTCATGAAAAGTGAGAACAAATCTATACCATCCATTACTTAAAAATGGATGGTATAGATCAAAACTCACGATCAACAAAAATGTGTAATACATAATAGCAAAAGTGCATATGCAATATGTAATGGTGCATATTCAACTTCTAAAAAAACATCAGGAACGATCTTTATACTTCTTATGTTTTTCCCGAAAATTAATGTACTTTATTGTTAGTCTAATGCACTTTTCCTCCGTAGTGATGCACATTTGTCACGTTAGTTTTCAAAAAAGTTTTTAATAATTAAACTTTTGGCACCGAATTTTTCCCTTAAAAATTGATCTAATCCACTCGTTTTCTCATTTTAACTGCTAAGATTACTTCTCTTTTTTCATATAAGTAGTACTTTGTATTTGAACCTCCCCCCTCCCCCCCCCCCCTCTCTCTCTCTCTCTATATATATATATATATATATATATATATATATATATATATATATATATGTGTGTGTGTGTGTGTGTGTGTGTGTGTGTTTGCCTCATAAATTATATTTAATCATTTATAAGTATTTATAATATTTTTCTGGGACAATTTTGTAGGTATTGTATATATTGTTTTTATATTTATTCCTATTTTCCTATTTATTATTCATATAAATTTATTTATTTATTAATTATATATTTTTGTTACTTTGATATGTGTGTAAACTTATATTAAATGGTTTACACGGATATACGTAAGAGTTTATAATTTTTATCTAAATTATTTCCATTTTAAGGAATTATTATATATGTACATATGTATATAATTATTATACATTTTTATTTTATTATTTAAATGGCTATTTTAGGTTTATATGATTTATATAAAGTTATATAGGTGTATAGATGTGTTTAGGACACTATTTGGTATTTTTGAGAATTTTGACTTATACAACTTTATTCTTGTATGATAAATTGTTATCTATTTTATTTTCATTTTATTTTTGATTTTTTTTTATTCTTTGGTATTTTGGTCCAAAATAAATTTACTAGTCATGTTTTAAAAATTTGGAGTATTACAGGTGGTCAGCCATATAAGCCGAAGCTGACAAAAGAAGAGATCACTCGATTGAAGCAATTAAGGGTAGGGCAAATCTCCCACATAGAGAATGTTGAGGCCGATATACTCTTGAAGCTCAAATGACAAAAGTGCGGACAATGCATGCAGGCTCCCATAGTACACCAGCAAAATCGCTCGGTGCAAATTTTTGGATGCCTCATATTAGGCATGGACTCGAGCCGGGTCGGGCCGCCGGTTTGTATCTCATGGACCCGGGACCGGCCTGAGGGTTGGACGGATCCGGTTCGGGCCGGGCCACCCGCCCAGGTCACGGGTTGGGCCACTCGCCGGGCCGAGCCGGGCCGGTTAAAACTAATTTTTTTTTATAATTTATAGTTTTATACTTTATAGTTTTATACAAGTATTAAAAACAAACTTCAAGTGCATTTATTTGAAATGAAATAGGAACTACATTTGACAATTAAGAGAAACATACAATATGAAATACATTTTGTAAAATTAAAACATGAAATAGTGAAATACTAATCAATCGGAATCTCCGACATAGGTAGAGTCACCCTCGGTTGTAGATTCATCCATAAAATGTTGGGATAGGGTTGTCCCCAGCTCACCCCCCAACGGCTAGTTTGGCCCAAAAGTCCAAAACAATTTTTTTAAAAAAATTGTGACCGTTGGACCCGGACCGGGCCCGACCCGACCGGGCCGGGTCAACTATTTCCGGAACCGAGCCCGCCCCGCCCATCCCCCCGGTTCGGGTCTACACCTGGTCCCGGACCACCACCGGGCCGATCTCGGGCCCGCACAATAGTGGGCCGGTCCCGGGCCCGCACAGCAGCGGGCCAGGCCGGGTCACGGGTCAGGTGACCCGAACCGAGTCCAAGTCTACCTCATATACGGAGATTTCGTGTCAATGCAATATCCCTTGTAAAGCCCTAGCAGGTGTTCGAGCTGAACAACTATATCCATAACGGCAAGCTGATGGAGAATGAGTTCAGGGCCAAACTCCTCAAAAGACGAGCGCCTTACTATATCCAGGACAGCAAGCTGAATTTTGAACTAATAAATAGACAACTTTACAGGAAGACAGGGGCGCAGCTAGAGGGTGACCAATCTAGGTCTAACAGGGGCGTAGCTAGAGAGTGACCGATCTAGGTCTAACAGGGGCGTAGCTAGAGAGTGACCGATCTAGGTCCTGAGTCCTGACCCACGCTTCCTATTTAAAAACATGAACAACAATATTAAAAAGAAGATTAAGTATGTTTCATTTCCAAAATAAGACTTACTCGTATGTAAACCTATTCAAACAATAAAAGTAAATACAGTAAATAAATCCTATTTTAGAAAGAAAACGGTGATGTCATTAGTTGAGAAAATGTACTATATTTTACTTTTATTTATGGAATTTCTAGATTCAGCCATCTCTATTTGGAAGCAAATTAAAGATAAAATTTTCACTCTAACATTTGGAGTCAACACGTGTTGATGTTAATTGTTCAAGAATTATTCTCCGTATAAAAATACTCCAGAAAACTCGTTTTTATTTTTATTCTAGAAATTACGTAGTATAGTTTATTATAGGCTTTATAATTAATAAGTATATAATTACAAATAGTAATAGCAAAAGTCAGAATATCACATTTATTTATCATTTTTACCAACTTTTAATTTCACACGCTAAATAATATAATAATTAAAATAAATAAAATTGAAATTAAAATGACTAAACTTATTGCAGAGAATAATTTTAGTTAATTTTACATGAATGTTTAGTAATTCAACAAATTCAATCAATTTAACCACTTATTATGAATTAAACATTTAATTAACTTATATTTAAAGGAAGGGTAAGAATAGAATGAAAAAATAGGTTTATTTCCAATAGGACTAATATGCTCCTATTTTGAAAAGAAAAACATAGTAAGTCCTACTTTGAGTTTTTGACATAGTTTTAGTCCTATTTTGAGTAATTTCTATAAATGTAATGATAACCATTTTCATTTCTAAAATCGCATATATTTATTTCTTGATATTATGACAACCCTCTCTCTTTATCATATGTTCACGAGCAAACATTAAAATACCTACTTAAAATTGACATAACTAAAAAATGTTGTTTTACTTTGCTGAGAAAGTTGGAAATTAGTTCAAGGCACAAATATACCACTAGTTGTAGACGACAATGCTCATACATCCAAACCATTTCAGCTACCTGAACAAAACCTACTCTAGAACGATTGGCATGGCATATACATGGACTGTAACATTTTTAATATAGACGCACATGCATACATTCATACATACACATGTAATCCTACCAAAGATTTTTATTAGCTCTAACCTTTTCTCTCTGACAGTATGGTGTTGACAACGTCTTTTACAAATAAATAGAAACATTCGCGGCAGGATTTGGGCATCAAAGTGGATCTTCTTATTTCACGGCCGCCTTCGACATGGATGCACATATTCGAGTTTGGGAATGAAGGAATTCCAGGGCGTCGAGCCTCCAAACCGCAAGCTTCTAGGATGGAGTGAGTGGAAAGTCTGGCAATCTCTTTAAATTTTTCTGCTTCTGCATACAAAATGATACTAACATTACAAATACATATCAATTCACAAAACATGTAGAATACGTAGAATAATACTCCCTCCGATTCACAAACAAGTTCCACATTTGACTTCACACGTATTAAGAAAATAAATTTGACTTTACTGTGGAGTGCAATGTTTGGCACTGTTTGAACACTGTTTGACACTGTTTTGATGTAGATAATTTGCCAAATGAGGAAATGTTTGAAAGTGGAACTTAATTTTGAATCTGCCCGAAAAGGAAAGGTGGAACTTGTTTCGGAAACGGAGGGAGTATGCTGCACGAGCATATACTATGTATCTAATATACAAGGAGGAAATCATCTTGTGAATCAACTTCCTATTCCTACGTATTTCTGTTCAAACAATTCTTCTGATAAATTGTCACCCCCCCCCCCCCCCCCCGCCCCCACGCCCACATAAAAATAAGCTATTTTCAAATTTGGACATCCTTAGCAGTAGTATCTTTGGACTGCAGAAAAAGCTAGGGAAAACAGATAAGTTTATTTAAGTTCACTTTTTTGGCCTTTATAAGATACAAAGTAGAATAAATACAGTAAAATGGGATTGAACATAATAATAAATACATTTATTGAAATCTTAGTCTTTTTTCCCCTACAATCAACCTCTCTATTTTCCTTCCTATTTTCTTTCCCTAGTACTTTCCTTGTCCCAAACGATCTCAATGTGTCTTCATTGTCTTCTCTTAGAGTAGCCACTAACCGCACCCCCACCCGCACAGGAGCACCACACACACTCGATAATGAAAACTACTACATTATAAGTTAAAATGCTCAAAGACTCATTAAAAGCAGCCTTTGCTGACAGTCTGACACTATGAGCTACTTTGGAATTCTGAATAAGCTATGGAAAGAAAATAGGAAGGAAAGTGTAAGGGCAATTTGATAGAAAAGAAAACGCGAGGGGAAATTTAACATTGGTTCACACACCATTAATTTATTTTATATGTTTGCTCAAACTAATTTTACTTCTTTATTTAGTTTTATTTTTATTTATTTATTTGTTTGTTTAATTCTACCATATATAAAGAATAAAAAACATAAATAATGTTAACAGTTAGAGTTGAGCCTAACGCAAACCTAAATTAGCTCTGAAAGCTTGAAGTTTTTTTTTTAATTCATATTAAGTTAATATGGGATAACTCCAACAGACATAGTAAACAAAATCAAAACATTGTATTTTTATTAATTTGCAGTTTCAAGAGAAAACCAAACACAGAGAAAATTTTGCTTAGCATTCTTTCCCCTAACTTTTTCTGGGATCCCTACACACCCAAAAGCATATTCTGACCACCATCTATGCGCTGTCATGGACCCAGGACATTTGTGCATTGAAATGCTGCAGGTAAGATGTAATTATTGGTACTCAGTAAATGAACACAATACCTAGTTTTTTATCCCCGGATAGGAGTTTCAAATTGAGCTTGACCAGACATTGAACCTCTTTCTTGGCTTCATATCTATCTCTAGCTTTTCTCCTCTCGTCAACTTTTTCTATCCCAACTTCATCCTTCAGTGTTCCAGCGTTGTTGTTTCTTGAGGAATAAAGACAGAGTTTCTCTTCAGAAGGAATACTCGAGACACTTTGTGCTGACCTCATCAAAGAATGTGAGCGGGATGATGATATGCTAAATGTACTTATCTTCTCCACATGCTCGACTTTTGCTTCTATATGGGTAACTATTTTCTTATGAGCGTGTTTCGAGGCTTGGGTAAGTGTCTTGGTCCCATCATGCTTGTTCATCATTGACTTGGCAATACCCATCATCTTCCAGGCCTTATCTATCTCATCTGAACGTTGTGGTCCATCGGTCCCACAGTCATGGTTCTTGCTGGACGGGAAACACATGGACCCACTTTGTAACCCATCCCAATTTTCACGTAAGGTGCGTATACGGTCATGCACGTTACGGCACCTCCACAAGGTTTTAGCAGAAAGCTTATTAGTTCTTGAAGAAGCCAACTTATCATCTCTTTCTCTAGTAACAGCTCGAGGTGATGACCTATTTGGATCTGATTTAATTAAGGACAAACCTTCAACATATCTAGTGTTTGGTTCTCGGACAATATCAAAGATAGACACGCATTCACCCATAGGAGATATTTGATGACATGATGTGTCAGGTTGTTTGAGTTGAGTGCCAGAATCATCCCTAGTGTCAGTTTTTGTGTGTTCAGTCCTAAGAATAGTACAATCTGAGCAAAACCAATCGCCATCCGGGACATTCGAGCCAAGGCCGACACAGTAAGTATGAGATGCGGAATCACATAAATCACATAGTAAAAGAAGACATTCATTGTCAGATTTATGACACACATTGCATCGGGCATCTGAGTATGGGTCGGATGGCCCGGTTGTCACATTTCCAAAATGATGGTATACCTACATGATAAATACACCAAATGTGGGGGAGAGTCATGCACATGATCATAGTTAAATGGTGTATATCATACCCCAAAAGAATCTTCAAGAGAATAGGTTTGCCTTACACATACATACGCGACTCAACCAAAATATATGAAAAACACAGAACATACGCACTAACGCACATACACTTATAAACAAACCAAAACACATACACACATCATAATGCATACTATGGTGGGGGTAATGGCCACGTGCTCATCCATTTATCTGCTGAGAGCGTACAATCACGGTCTCATCCAAGACTGAGACTGAACAAATGGAGTAAAAAATAAGAGATGAGTAGTAGGATGTTTAGGACCTACTGTTGTGAATCAGACAGCTTAATTTGGAATTAGCCCGGTCAGTGATCAAGTCATTAATCACAAGGCCTAATTTTTGAATCATAAATCACATCGTGTTATGAACCATAAGACAAAGGTCAATTAAATATATTAATACTTGTCTTTTGATTTTTTTAGCTCTGATTTCATATGTCGATTCATGTTAGCCACCCCCAAACTCTTTTGGGTCTAAGGCCCTGATGTTGTTGTTGTATGCAAATATATTAATCCAGTATATTTCAGTAAACTTAATGCCTTAGTGGAGATAGGCAGCTATCACCACAAATATATTACTGCTATGAGTCTTTCTTTTTGGGTACATCAGAACACCTCACACAGTCACACCATTAGGGAATAGTGACTATTAGGGAGACATCACTACAATCTCACAAATACCCTATCATAGCATACAAAAGGTCGATTTGTAGAGCGATTCTTTGTTTCTTTTTTCGAACTCTTTCTCACAATTCAAGAAGAGAGAAGAGGTACAGCCACCGAGAGAACTGGTGTAGAGTGGGTGGGGAGACATGAAAAGAAAAAAGTACTTAAGACCTCATGCTTTCTGCATGTGAAGCGACTAGCTGATAACGCTCCCTCGTCCGCCGCTTGCTTCATTAGTGCAGCAATTGGAGCTTCGGAAAGTATTTTTTACTCAAACATATAATGTAGAAGGTTTTTATGGTATGACCGTATGATGGATACTATATTGCTGTTAGCCAAATTTGGTAAGTGCCTCATAGCACTTGCATCAGTGAATATAAAGTGTAAAATCCATCTTTGATATTATAGTTACTATGGAAATCTATCTATATAATAACAAAAGGATTCTTGCAGGAGAAGCTCCCACCAAAGCCATTCACAGTAAATCATGAAGTGCTGAAGCACGGAAGAAAAAGTACGGCAACAACATTGATAAAAATCATTGGCCAACGAATACTGGAATTGTCCAGAATGCTTGAGAAGGGAAAACGGCACATTGAAATTGTAAATCTTTTAAAAGACACATGAGAAAATGAAAAGACAAATATTATTCCAAATAGATATATCCTAACCCTTTCATTAGCACACTCTATATACCGTAGCTCAGTAGCCGTGTCATCCGTGTGCGAACATAACTTAGAAATTTGCCTTTATATAGCTTTGTACTACCATGAACTTTTAGTTGGTAAGGAAATTAAATATAACTGCAACAAAATTCTTAAAGAAGAAGACGCCACCCATTTGACACATTTAGAGGCAGTTGCTTATACTTTTTCGATAGTAGGATCAAACAAAGGAGAGGGGGGATTGAAGAAGACGGACTGATTTTTTGTGAATGGATTGATTTGCGCTGATGTTATCATGACGAGAAGGAGAGAGTGAGAGAGAGCAGCAGCCGGTGGAGAAGATGCATTCCAGAGCTGCAGCTGAAAAGAAGCAAGAGGTAGAGATGCTAAGAAGATGAAGGTTTCATCAAAATCCTACTACGTACAATTAGATACATAGTATTTTGTGTGCATACTCTGTTAATGGTGGGCTAAATTGTTAGTTTGTCTGCATTAAATTTTGTGTTACTAATTTCTAGATCAAGATAACTTTTATTAGATTTTAGTTAAATTTGTCTTTATATATGTATATATATATATACTTCGCATATCCTCTCAAATCTTTACAGAGTTTACCATATGTGATCAACACATTGTTACACTCCGTATGTGGTGAAAAATAGTACTCCCTCCTTCCCATTAGAGGTTCCAATTACGATTTACGATGCTTGACTGACGATAAAGCAACTTAATCGCTGCTCACGCTCTATTAGAATAGAAGCAGGGTAGAAGATGGAAATGAAAACATCTTACTGAGAAAGAGATATTACAGAGTATTTATACAAGATGCAGTCTAACTGACTATAAGCAAACATAACCGAAGCCTAACAGAATGTAGTTGCATCACAATACAAAGAAATATATGTGTAGTATTCATACACTATTCCTAACACACTCTGATTATTTTTAGTAAATAAAATTTACATATTCAGAACTACATTAAAACCGCTACAAAGCGTGATAAAAAATGTAAATTTGATAAAAATTTGATATATAGTGCAAAAGATTAAGAATGATTTAAGTTGACCATGTAAATAGTGGACAGGAACCTTTGAATGAGTATTTATTATTATGAATTTAAAATCCTGAAAAGTTGATTGAGTATTTGTTTTTAATTTTTTATGATTATGTATAAATTGGGTTAATATAGTAGTGATATTATTATGTTAAATTGCAAAAGCTCAATATAGACTCACGTAAAAATGAGTTTTACGATATAGATTGAATGTAAAAATAAACATATACTCTGCATATTCTTAGAAAGGAAGACCAAAGTCGCACCCTTCCTCTGTATTACTTTTATATAAAAAAATTAGATAAGCAAGTATTGTCAATTTAAAATATGCAACTTAAGGAACATAACAGAAGAAAGTGAAAAGTTTAACAAGACGGGGCCAGTGAGGTGTATCAGTATGTGGGTATATTGGGCTGTTTTTGAGATTTGTAAAAATGTAATAAGGCATTTCGCCATGTTAAAACCTATACATTATGTTATACATTAAAATTTTGTTTAGTTGCAATTGATTTTATGTACTTTGTTATTACTACATTACCGGTAGTGATGATTTTTTGGTTTTGATATTTTGCGGTAATAAGTTGTTTTTTGGTTACTCAGTATATATATTTTTTTGTAATTAATAATTTTGAACAAAATACTGCTCTGTGCATTGCACGGGTGAGTACTAGCTGCGACTATAATGTATAAAATTCATCTTTAATATTGCATCAAGCTTGACCCACTAATCTTCACTTTTTGAAAAGATTTTTTTAAGTAACCAGCATAATAGATTCCTTTTGCAGGGAATAAAAGCCCTCACACTCCCTTTGGAAATTGAGTACATAGGAATAAGTGTCAAAGAACTGGAGAATAGGTCAAGCTGTTAGAAGTTGTCAGGGGCGGAGCTATGCCTATGGGTAGGGGGCCATGGCCCCTCCCAATAATTTAATTTTTTTATATTAGTATTACTTATTAGTATAGCTTTTGTACTAGCAACCAGCAAGCAATTCAAGCAACGTTCGGTGAGTATCACGTTTTGGACTAATAAGAGCAAACAACGTTTACAGTGATAACCAAAACCCCAAAAGGATAACAACACCTAATTTGGACTAATAAAATTGTAATGATAGTTACAATAACTTTAGAGTTCAATGAGTGTGTGAAATATTGAATAATCAGTAGGGGTTCAGGCCTCAGGGGGCTTTGGTCTCTTAGCAATTTTTTTAAATTTCATTAAATTTTATCTTGTAATATATTTTGACCCCTCAATTTTTGTTAATTTCGGTGTGGTAGCAAAACACACTTTAATTATCTCCCATTTTTTTATAGTTAATAAGAAAATCCTCATTACCCCGTGGTGCCCGCGCTAATTTAGAGGCGTAATTATTTAATTATTTCATCACAAAAATATACATAGTACTACGTATTACGGAGTACATAGTATTAGATATGATTGCATCAATGAAGTATAAACCTAAATAAATTCAAGGGTAGACATTATCGAAAGTTTAAGGTAAACAACACACTAATACTTCGTCCCCCCTTGGTCACATCCTGGCTCTGCCCCTGGAAGTTGTTGCTATAGTTTAGGATTAAGTTGTAATCACATACTGTAAATCTTATCCCTTTTTTGTAGGATCTGCTGTTAGTATTGTATTATAAATACACCAATCAATAGAGAAAATAATCATCTCGGCTCACTTATATTCACCTTTAAAAAGAAACGAGAATAAGTTAATAAATAAGAGGGGGAGAGACAGAGAGGACATTAACTTTCAATAATTGCTACTGCATTACACCTACATAAAGTGTGCCTGTGTACTTTAATACACATTATATGAGTCTATAAAGGAAGTACTTTTTAAGAATTCTGAAATTCCTGATCTCAATGAGGAATGCAGACAGAAAAATACTACTACGTATTAATTTGGTTATCCAAAAGGAGAGTGAAAAGGATTATTTGATAGAAAGAGAAGTACCATTTTGTTACAAATTTTATTCTCATACATCTATCCTTTCCCTTCTTAAATTATGCTTTGACGTATCTAATTAGTATAGTAATTATTGCCTGGAAATCTTCTAAGATTCGTTGCAGTTCAAAAAACCATAATGAAACCATTCTCCTCCCTATCTCTCTCCAAACTCCGACATATTTTCTTTGTTTCTTTCCCCCCCCCAATCAATTCTTCTCCTTTTCAGAGTGTAAATACTTGCAAAATGTCTCTTTCAAGTTAGAATCAAAGTAACAATCTTGTTTTCCACATGTAGGAGATGCAGGCATGCAAACTACGTAGAAGCAATTTGTTCAGAACAGGTTGGAACTGAGTTTTAAAAGAGCTGTTAAAGACTGCCCAACACTTATTTATGGGGTTCAATCAGAACTAATAATATCTATTAATCTGAGAAGCTGTCAACCTAATTTCAGCTATACATCAATCCAAACAAATGTGGTGAACTGCTTGTGAACAAATTGCAGAAATACAAAAACTGTAATGGGCGCCTGACCTGATCGCGACAAGGAACGGGAACTAGGCGTTCTGAAAGGAAGAGAGGGGGATTGGGAGGGCGACGGATGGTGGAGAATCGGCGCTTGCACATAGGGCATCTGGATTCAACCTTGGACCACTCCATGATGCACAAGAAGCAGAAGAAGTGCTCGCAACTGTCGATACATCCTTGAATTATGGATCGACCATTTCCGGCTTCCAGCAGGCATATCCCGCAGCACAGCTCAGATTCATCGCCGTCATCTGGCCCCAAATTTTCGATCTTGGACTTGCCCTTGCCGGCGCCGAACGATGGAAGCGGTGTTTCGAGTGTTTTGCGGCGTTTGCTTGCATAAGGATCAGATTCAGTTCCAGAGGTTGCCATACCTCGGACTACTGGATTCGGTTCCATATACTCTTATTAATGGTGGGTAGTTTGGCCTTCTGTCTTTGGCCTTTGGAGGTCGGAATTAGAGTATACTGGTGTTTGGAACGATTTCCCCAAACTGGTGTATGGAGCCTTTTTTTTGTATCATTGCGGACTTGCCGAGCATAATGAAAGAACTGTTTCTAAGGTTTAAGCAAATGTGGTAGGCGTTCTCAGAGGAAGAGAGGTTTCATTACTTTCACGTAAGAGTACAATTTTGTTTTGACTCTTTGCGTTCTCTTATGTCAAATCAAATAAAAAGTATATATATTCTCGTGGTTGTTTTATGTCAAATCAAATAAAAAGTAGATACTTCGTATAAAGTAAAACTAGTCGTGACATTTTGATTAAAAGTGATTTCCCTTTATATAAATGAGAATTTCTTTTGTGACATACAAAAAATGAAAGTGATAACTTCTTTTCCTAGCGGAGGTAGTATTTGATTTGAATAATACGAGCATTGAAGGTAAATTTCTAAACTAAGGATTGGGATGAAAATATATGGCCGCTAGGTGATTTGATGAAAGTTCGGAACCAATATGGTGATATTTATTTCACACATTTTGAATGATTTATGACTATGGTGTATAACATTGAAGTATGTTAAACCTAGCTTATACATGTAATTCACGTTGATGTTTAAGTTACGATCACTAAAGGATAATCGGGGATAGAAATACATTGGTGGAAATTGTCTAAATGAACGTAAGTCATAATGGAACTTACATGTAGCGAAAACTACACTCACACTGCCTAGACATAGTGAGAAATATATTAGCGACATCGTAATAAATGGCAGAGAACTAGTATTAAACACTAGTAAAACGATTAGATGAATCTTGATGCCTTCATATTTATTCTTATTTTAAACCAACTCTATACTTTAAACTTCATATCCTGAGCTTTGTACAACAAATGTTTCCGTGTCGATCGACTTGATATTTTATCAATATTTATCATTACGATCATCATTTGTATACTTACAAGTTTAGCCCAATACTTACGTTCTTCTGCAAAAAAAAACTCCTCACCGGACCTTCACTCCACTCCTTAACCCCATAGCGGCTGAGGAGAAACAACTCTTTCTGACTCTAAACCCGAACCCACGCATCTTTCCACACATATGTGTTCCTGCCATTCCCAACTTGTTTTCTTAGCCCCTCTGTTACCACCTTTTGAGCTTCCATGATGCTACGCTACAAATGAAGGGTTAGCCCCCTATTTTGGCTTCACAAAAAGCATTGGTATGAAAATAACAAAATACATAGCCTTGAAAATTCTGCAAACTAGAGAATTTGGCTCTGTTGCATGTTGGACTGTACGTGGGTTATGAACGTGGGTTTGTACATATTCGGTCTTATGCATGGACTAGTTTAGAGAATTAATTATGTAACATTTGTTTGGTGTAGATTCGTTAGTCATATATAGCGCCAACTGTTAGCAATATTTTAAGAGAAGATTTCTCACATGTATTTGGTAAGTGGAGTAGGTTACCTTAGAAGAGCAATTTGTATATATTCTAATGATTCATTCGATGTACAACACGGTCATTACTTTGAATAAAATACTTCTTATTTTGGTATCATAGCAGGAATTTCCGATCCACATATCCACGAAGTCATGGCGAACGATGCAGGCCATATCTCTGGCAACCGAACGAATGAACCGGTGAGAAGGAAAATTAATGATCCTTCGTCACCATATTATCTGGAAAGCTCCGATTTCCCGGGTATCAACATCTGCGGCATCACTCTCAAAGGTGAGAGTAAATTACCAGGAATGGACGACGTCAATGAAAAATGCCTTTCGTGCAAAATGAAAGGTCGGTTTTTTGGACGGAATGATTAAACGATCAGAGAACAATCCACAGGATCTAGAAGACTGGGATAGCGTGAACTCCATGCTCGTGGGGTGGATGATGACGGCAGTGGAGCCGAACCTACGTACAAATCTCACTTACATGGATAACGCGCGGGAGCTTTGGGAGGATTTGAAGAGTCACTTTGCAATCGGAGATCCCATGCGAATTCACGAACTTAAGGAATCCATTCGGTGGTACCGGTAGAGTGGACAAACCATCGCGATGTACTTTGGATGCCTAAAGGCGTTGTGGGACGACTACGAAGGATACCGGCTTATGCCCCAATGTACATGTAATGGGTGCACATGTGATTTGACCAAGCAATATTTGAAGCAAATTGAACAAGAAAAGACTCACAAATTTTTTATGGGCCTCGATCATGATATTTATGGTGTGTTGCATTCAAACCTTCTCAGCCAGGAGGAATTGCCAAGTTTGACGAGAGTGTATCAAATTATGATACAGGAGGAAAGGGTCTGAAACATGACATGTACCAGTGATGATAAGGTTGATGGAGTAGCATTTGCAACGAGGACAGGCGCACAGTTGGGAGGAAAGGATGAAAATATCACTTGCACCTACCGTAAGAAGCAGGGTCACGGCATAGAAAATTGTTTTAAAAGAACCGGGATTTATCCGGAATGGTGGTACGATAATCCAGGGCGAGGAAGAGGAGCACGTGGTCATGGTGGAGCCAGGAGGGGACACAATAGGGGTCCTAGAGGCCGAGCTACAGTCAACGCAGTGCATACAGGAGTTGGAGATGATGCCAGGGATAAGTCTTTTGGCCCAAATGACAAGGAAGGAAGTAAGGAACCCACCTTCTCGACAGGCCAGTGGAAGACGTCCTCTCATGAGACTACTTCGGGTAAGAATGCTTATACTGATTGGCTTTTAGATTTCGATGCATCGTTTCACATGACGGGTAATGAATATTTGTTGTTAAACCAACAATCTTTGGCCCCGGTTTCTGTTCACTTGCCCAACGGTGAAGTCACGTTTGTAAAAAGCAAAGGAGAAGTGCAACTTTTTCATGGATTAAAATTTACCGTTGTGTTATTAGTTCCGGGTTTAATGTGTAATTTAATTTCTGTTGGGAAATTAATCAATGAACGAAAATGCGGAATATATTTTGCTAATGATGTTTGTGTGATACATAACTTACTTTTGAGGATGCCGATTGGAGCGGGTGAGCGACGCGGTGGAGTGTACTATTTTCGTAGTTTGGATCCAGTTCGTGCTTGTTCGATAAAAGGGAAGGATACAATGTTAGAAATAACAGTCTCTAATCCGAACATATATGATTAGAAACATGAACCCTAAAGCGGAAGCTAAATGAATCAAGCGTTTACCTCCGGCCATTGTTATCGGAAAATCGTCGGAGCTTTATCGGTGACTCGGAATGGCTTCGCCGGCGTCAAGGAACGCTGTTTTGCTCTTCTAAACCGAAATAACCTCGAACTAGATGGTGTGTGTTTATGAATGAGATTAAAAGGCTTAGGGACCAAAACAACTCTCTCTCAATTTATAAACCGGTTCCTTTCCATCAAAGAGAAACGGAAATGAGAGGCTTAATGTGTATTGATTCGTTGCTATAATTATGGTATTTGATAGACCATAAATGGAGAGATATATCATAACGTATTTACTTAATATATTCCATATACAATATACGGTAATTAGTATCCATATATTCTATATTCGTAATGTATATCTTACATTCTCCCACTTGGTCTATAAATTCAATATATGTCACAAGAAAATTAATATATAGATCATGGCGATAAGTCCTCTATAAATGAGTATTATCTTCCATGTATCATATATATTACTTTTCACAAATTACCCATCAAAATATAATGAATAAACCATATGTTTATTCTTGGTCCAAACATAATAAAATACTCCTCAAATCAATAATGATAATGAATGTGCACAAACCATATGAGAAATATTAAACTGAATACGAGTTTCATAAATGGAAATGTAGCGTACTATGAAAAATTACATTATGGAACCAAGTCCCATATTTTCCACATGATCCTTAAATTTCTTTGGTGGCATGCCTTTAGTCAAAGGATCGGCAATCATCAACTCAGTGCTAATGTGTTGGATGAGCACTTTTCCATCTTTAACACGTTCTCTTATGGCTAGATACTTGATGTCGATATGCTTACTTCGACTTCCACTTTTGTTATTCTTAGCCATAAAGACAGCAGCTGAGTTGTCACAGTACAACTTAATAGGCCTAGAAATAGAGTCTACAACTCTAAGTCCAGATATAAAACTCTTCAACCAAACACCATGTGATGTAGCTTCAAAACAAGATACGAACTCGGCCTCCATGGTGGAAGTAGTGACCAACGTCTGCTTCGTGCTTCTCCAAGATACAGCTCCGCCGGCTAGCATAAACATATATCCTGAAGTGGATCTTCTAGAATCTATGCAGCCTGCGTAGTCAGCATCAGAGTAACCAACCACCTCCAATTCATTGGTTCGTCTGAACATAAGCATGTAACCCTTTGTTCCTTGAAGGTATCTCATAACCTTCTTTGCAGCTTTCCAATGGTCAAGACCTGGGTTACTCTGATATCTACCCAATACTCCAACAACATATGCAATGTCAGGTCTGGTACAGACCTGAGCATACATAAGGCTTCCCACAGCGGAAGCATATGGAATATTCTTCATTTGATCCCGCTCAAGATCATTCTTTGGACATTGATCAAGACTGAATTTGTCACCCTTCACAACAGGTGCTATACTTGGCGAACAATCTTTCATCCGAAATCTCTCTAGAACTTTGTTGATATAGGTTTCTTGAGACAAACCCAAAATGCCTCGTGATCTTTCCCTATGGATCTTAATGCCAATGACATAAGATGCCTCACCCATATCTTTCATATCAAAGTTCTTAGACAGAAATTGTTTCACCTCGTACAACATTCCATTATCATTAGTCGCTAACAAAATATCATCCACATATAAAACAAGGAAACATATCTTACTCCCAC